ATCAAATATTATAGAGAACTTGAATATTAATTCCTAACATGTCAAAAAGAATTTAATAAAATTAGATTAGAAGAATTATATTTATTTATTTTTAAAATTTAAGATCCAAATTATATTATAACAAATTTTAATTTTATGTTAAAAATTTAAGAACTAAAACCTTATTTAAAAAAATCTTTTTTTTTTCTTTTAGGCTACATTTCCCTGGAGTTAAAAGTCTCAGTTTTTGCTTAGAAAAATATATATCAATTTCCTGTGCTTCTTAAATCCAGGAAAATGTTTGCACTAGTTTATACATCTACATTCTTAAAGAACGAAAAAAAGGGTAAGAAATAACTTCATTTTTTATTCTTTTTCTCTCATATCCTCTGGTTAAAAAAATAATCCATATTTCTATTTATGAAAATAAAATCTATATATTAATTGGGCATGTTATGAATGATGATTAATATCAAGCATATATGATGAAAAATACAACATACATGTTATTTTATATAGAAGATGAAAGAAATTATCATGCATGGTAGGTATAAGAGCATCAAGAATTTCGAAACCTGACTATCTTTTCAAGACAGTCTGAGAAAATGTTGGGCCAGTAAGAAGCCAAGGCTGAGTTTCCATCAACTGTTATGTTTAACCATTTGTTATTTGCCATGGAATCAAGAACTCAAATCTGCTAAAAACATGAGAAACTGCAGAAGATGAAGAAGATGAAGAAGATGAAGCAGTTTTTGGTTGTTTATATAACAGTGCTGTTCATTATAAAGGTCAACCCTCATTAATGTAGACTTGACTTTTGTTACCTTATTTCAGGCATTCACTAATTGTAAAGAACCTTAAATTATTTATTGAGTTATAAATGCAAACTGCATGTTGTTCTTAGTTAATAAAGTTGAAGTAAAAATCATTAAATAGGAAATAAATAGAATTTAATGAATTTCAAAATGATATTTTCTGGAAAAAATAGAAGAATTAGAAATAGCAACTAAAGTAATTTAGACTCCAATTAATAAATTGATTATAATTTTTTATTAATAATAAAGATTATTTTAGATACCAATATTTTTAGTTTATAAAATAATTTTTAATTTAGTCAATATAGTAATTAATTAATTTTGCCTCTAAATTTAGTTTTTATTTGATAATGTTCTTATGTTAAACAAAATACCATTTTAGTTTCAAAACACAATTTAAGAAACTAAACTAGTATTTTAAAACTGTTTAATCACTTCTAAATAATAAATTTAAGTAATAAAACTACATTTTTAATTGAAAAACTAAAATTAGTTTTTAAATTTAAATAATTTTAATCAAATTTATTTAATATTTTAAATTGAAAATATAAAAATGATATTTTAGGTAATATATATAACAAAAGAACAATTTATATTTCTCTCGTTAAAAACATATTAAATAACGAAATTATCATATTTTCCATAAATTTTATCCTATCACTTATCATAATTAAGGAACTGTTCTCGTTGTTAACATTGATGAGATCATAATATGACCTTATAATCACATATCCTCATATTTCTTAAAAACAAATAAATAAGACGACGAAACAAAATAAAAATCACTTTACATAATTAACACAAATTAAACTACTTAAACTTAATTAATTAAAAAATATAAAAATAATCAGACTTGAAACTTAAATATGTAAAAATAACTTTCTCTTGTTTCAAATATAACTATATATAAATATTATAAACAATGGTTTTCTTTAAAACACCATAAATGTAAAAGTATTAAATATTATTTCCGTTCCTTTTTTATTATTTTTTAAATTTATTTTTCTAACAAATAGACAATACATTTTTTATTCTAATAAATAATTGTATAATTTCTTATTTTATTCATTTCTCTTTTTATCTAATATAATATATTTAGTAAATTATCATTTACGAGAAATAAGAGTATAATAAAAAATAAAAATGTAACGTCTTTTTTCCTAAATTAATAAATTAATTTACAAATTAGAGTAATACGTTTTTTTAAAAAAATAAAATTAACCATTTAAATTAACTTCTCTCTTAAATTTTTTTTTCTTACCACTTTTGTTATTATATGATTCCTTTATATACTTTTAGTTTATATGTTTATCACAAAAAGTTTCACACATAATTACAATATATATATATATATATATATATATATATATATATATATATATATATATTCTAATTAATATGATTATTTATTGTATTTTTATTAGCTTAATAATATTTACAATATTATTTTAAATATAATTTTAGTTACCATCAATAAAAAGAGATGAGGTTGGACTTCCTTGTTTAATGAAAATAATACAAAATAGCAAAGGAAAATGGTATAACATATTTGAAAATAAAAATTTATCACTCGCTTAATCATATATAATTTTTGTGCTTATGAGAATTTAGAGACTCGTTTGTATTTGCAAGCAGCAACCAGAATCAAAGACCCAAATCGCGAAACATAAAAACACAATCGCGATCTTCACCATCTCAAAAATCTCAATTGCAAACCCTAAAATCCTAAATTAGCATAACCCCATCTTTCTCCGTCAATCATCTTTGCGCTGCCACAAAAAAATCAGTCATAGATCTGCGAATTTGAACCACTTAAACCTCTAATCTCATCGCGAAGCAAAACGCCTCCATGTAACCTACAAAAAAACATCCAAATCACATAGCCAGAATCCTTTTGCACCACGAAACGACAGCGATAGAACCCCCAAATCGCGAGTTCGATTCGCGCATCATTAGACCTTCATCTCCACGCACAGAAAACACAACATCACATTAAGAACACTTACTTAACATATGTTTCTCCAATTGCAATTTAAACGAACAATGAACCCAAATTGAACAACAATTTCACCAATTTCTTCAACCCAAACCGAACTCAAATTGAGTTGCCTCTTCTAAACCAATGTTAATTTCATTTTACAAAAACAACTTTAACTTAACATTGTCACGTCACTTCCCCTTGACTTGCCACGTATTTTTAAAATTGACATCTCATTCAATATTGGCTTAGGTGGCCTTTAGCGATTTAGACCGCGAAAATGAACAAATTTTACAAAAAAGGGGATCACCTTGAACTTGCCACCTATTTTCAAAATTGACACCTTATTTAATATTGGCTTAAGTGGACTTTAGCGATTTAGACGCCATCAGTGAAATGGAACAAATTAACCAAATTTTACAAAAAAAGGGGACCACTTTAAACACACTGAATAAACGTGAGAACCATTTTGAACAAAAATGACTAATATAGATACCAAAATAGGTATTAAATATATTTATTTTTATCATGGTGAAAGTCAACTTTCATGTTCCTGCTCCTTCATGACTGAATTTGATTATGAAACAGGGACTTTGGCTTTTCAATTTTTTTTATACAAAATATAAATTATTATATAAGTAAAACAATAAAAGGTGTCGCACAGTTTCTACATAGGAACTTAACAAACTGAAACAATAAAAGATAACACTAATGTACAGTCCCTAAACTGTCAAAAACTGCTATATCGTTGATAAATCCACAACAGCGCCTATAAATTTCAGTTTTATCTTCTCTTCAAAGTCATTTGCAAGCTCAGATCTTCTGAATAAATGTAGTATCCTGCAATTTATTGATTAGTCAAAATTAAAGTATTGAAAACAGATCAAAAGGTCACAACATGTGTGTAGCTAAATGTTCACCGCAGGAAAGATTGTTCCTATGTAGTAGTGTCTGTTTTTGGTTGGAGATATGATCAAAATCTGAGAAGGGAGATTAATTTTCGCACACTGCACACAGATATCTAACATCAGTGGTGAAAAAAGCAAGCAGAAAATGAAGTAAATTATATTTAGTTTTGAAATAAAAAGGCAATGCAATTGGTATCTTTTGATTGGGAAATGAAGCTCTGGCAAATGGAGAAATAACATGTTTTTGGACATTGTTACGAGTATCGATGACAGACCAGGTTTTTGTTTGTCAGATGTTCATACAAGTCCAGATTGTTGAAATGCAATATGTCGAAGAAAACATAATCTATGGGTCCAAGATGAATCCTGCATTATTGGAAGATATGTAAGATTCTATACAAAAGGAAGTGATCGTTTAAGAAGTAGCAATAACATTATTCCATAAAATTACGTTATCATATAATCGATAGTTTTCTTAGGTAAATACAAGGATATCTCAAGCCTACTAAACCACCCGTAAGTAAGCCTGCAATGAAAAACCAAAAGTAGATTATAGTGATCATTTAATTGGGAAAATGTAAGAAGAAGGATTTCTTAGAAAACTTAAGATTGGGAATACATGGAAAGAAGGTACACTTACGTAGGGGGTGAGGTTGCTCTTCTGAGGGCCTGTTTCATGGGTCAGAACATAAGTCACTGTTGATCTTGTTTAACAAACTAGTTCTAAGCAGTGAAAGATGATTTCAGGGGTTTTTTTACATTTCGAGAAAAAAACACTTTGGATATTACCAATATAGGCAAAAACTTTTAAAATGATTGATATGATGAACAAGTCGTGGAGTCTTTATATAACTTCAAACGAAGAAATCATGCACCTCATAGGTTTTCTGACTCTAATAATCTATTACAATAACTATAATAAATTCCTTAATACTAAAATTGTACAGAGAATACACAATTTCAGTTGTACACCCTTAAACAGGGAAGTTGTACACCCTTGAACGATTTCAGTAATCGATTACAGCTTATTATAATCTATTACCAAAGCCAAAAAATGTGAGGAGGATGTACAACTTCACCATTTACCATGTGTCAGAACTGAAGTAGTGCACCCGTACACGACTTCTTCACTTGAAGTTGTGTGAGAGCTGCATGACTTTCTATATCTGTAATTTTAAAACTTTTTATCTATATTCGTAATATTCAAAGTGTTTTCTCCTATAAACTTAAAAAAAAACTTAATTTTAGAGGTTAATGGATTCTAACATACCTTTCCTCTCTGAGTGTTTGTGCGATTCCTGTGCATTTTTCCAAACAAAGTTCCCTAGAGAAGGAGAAGAGAAAATGTCAACGTAAACCAAAGATTACTTTTTAAGCTAGAAAGTATAAAAGTATCTTATAGAGAAACTAGTATAAGGAAAATTTAACATGTTCAGTGAAGGCATATTATGTTAGTTTTCTGCAGAATAATGAAGCTAATTAATCAGTTTACCTCCCATGCATGCACTAGGTTTTGAGAATATGTAGAAGATGGTGGAGGAGGCCAAAAATCATGGGGATTAAATTGAGGTGTTTTTGGTGGAGGTGGAACCCCAGCGGTTGGTCCAAACACAGGTCTACCATATGGATCAAAGCCTGCTGCCAGGAATGGAAGATGTGGACGCCTGCTGCTGCTGGTACTAGTACAACCATATGGAAGAATTGGTGGTAATAAGGATGGTTCACTATTAACTATGTTTCCTCTTGAATAAACCATGTTAGCAACTTCTTCTGAAAATATCAAAACAAAATGAAGGGAAATGTGTTTCATATCACTTTCCATATTGCAGACAAAAACACAGTATTATCCATTTTCATAGCAGTAAGATACACTGGTTGGAAAGTCTAATACCATTTGTCATCCTCATTGATTTTACACTCTCTTTTGTGGCTGGATCCACTCTTCTTTTCCCACGAAGGGCATGTGCCTCCTTAAAATTTCTTGCCAATAGAACATTCAACTCGCCAATTCTAATGTTAGAGTTTGGAGTGGTTACCATTGGAGAACCGTTATTTCCCTACAAAACAAGGAAAACAAAGTTATGTACTAACCAAAACATATATGAATACCATGTTGTCATAAATAAGCAACACAACTTGTGATTAACTGTACAAACTACAGTGTAAAACCTTGGCTTTGACTAATGAAAGGGATCACTATATATACTTTCTGACCTGGAACATGCTATTACATATCTTAAACCAGAATAACAAATAAGATATTAGTGAAAGGATGTTAATTATATGGGAGATAAACTTATACCATATTGAATATCACTCCAAAAATTGGATGTTGCACTGCAGATATTATTGAAAGGGATACTGCTAGCTGCATGTAGTAACATGAACTCAGTCAGTGTAAATAGAAGGCTACCATTGGGTAAAACAAGAAAGAACAGGGTTCCACAATATTACCGGGCCAAACATTTCTGCCACCTCACAAAAATCAACATTTAAAGTATGCAACTGTGTGCCAAAAATTCTTCCTTTATCAATCTGTGGCACAGAGACTAACATTCTCCTAGGAACAGGGTCTCCGGATGCTATAAGAATACAATGTCTACTACCGTTGTAGTATTCTTCTTTTGTCATGACATCAGACGGCCTTGGAAACAACTGGTTAGACCATGATTCACATTACACATTGTTATTTCCCAGTTTTACAATATAATGCTTGCAATTCCCATATATAACTGATGGGTCTATTTTGGAGGGTATTCATTGAACAAAGATTATATATATAATATATATGTGACATACGTCTCATCCAGACATCACATCTAATACAAAAGTTTCAAAGTGAGTTTTTTTCTCATACGATTTTTAACTCTCATTTATATTTAATATGAGACTTATACTTGAATTATTTTTAACAGTATCATAAATTACTAAAGAGTAAAAGAAATAGTTAACATATATATACCATTAGAGCCTCTCCAAGACCTTGCACCATGGTGTGTTGGTTTTCATTATTTCCATTGAAGACTAACGATGATAACACACCTAAAAAATAATCCACCTCTCCTGTCCAATGGATATGTTGGACATCTACACAGAAACAAATTTAAAATTTCTGCTTCAATATAACAGTTTTACTGTGGAATGAATCATTCCTATATATGAACAAAAGAAAGTATTCATATATGATGTGTGTGCTTACTAAAGGAATGGACCAGATAATTAACATTACATTAGGTTAAAAGCAAAAATAATTAGTACAAAGTTGTCATTAATTGAACTTAACATGGCATATCTTACATACGCTATTACAAAAACAAGGTATAACGTCCAACGTTCAATCAGATAAGTTAAAAATGACTTGAGGTATTTTTGTAAATAAAAGGTAATTAAAATAATACCTGCATTGGAGTTGGCATTATACATTACCAGACCTACCTGTGCATTAGTTCCCTGTAAACAAATGAGGCATGGTAAGGCAAGAGATTTGTCTTGTGGATTTGAAAAACTAAACTATATTTGCATACCTTCATATCACATAAGAACATGTTAATGTATGACTAATATTCGATTGTGAAGTTTTTTACTTCCAGCAAAGTATTGAACAGCTGATTGATCGATACGAGGTATACCAAGAAACCTTAAACTTAGTTTTGAAATCAATCAATTTGGGTAAGTCATGCAGGTTAGAGTATATTAACATCAAATAGCTTAAACCTTCTGCTACTAGAAAACTTGCTTCCTCGCTGCATGCACAAATTTCCATTCACATGCTTCTTTTTCCTACAGCATTTGTCCAACCTAGTCCAATGGTATCTATAACATAAAAATTAACTGTCTTTGACATGATAGTATTTTCCATTATGTTATTATTCCAATCTCAAGTTCATTAATATAGTATCATTGAAGTCGATTACTACATCTGAGATATTGTCTATATATTGAACTCGAAACTCTTTCATGCATGTGCATGTTTATACAAGAGATCATACCATAAAAAAATTCAAATACAGAATGAATTACCTCTTTTCCTGAGTCGTCAAAGAAGAACCTGCATAAGAGAAGTAATTAATTAATGCACACACATGAGAGCAAATTCAGTTCACAGAGTTACAAATTTAAAAATATAAAAATATATTTTGATATATAAAAATTTAAAGAAGGACCTCTTTGATATATTTTGATATTTTGTTTATTATATAAGAATACAAAACTATTCATATTGCTTCAGCCTAACTTTAAATTTATATCTATCATAAAAGCAATTCAATCAAGTAAAAGTAAGTCATAGTTTTCACTTGTAAAAATATAATAAAAACGACTAATTTTCACTGGGGTACTTAAATCCAAGAAAAAGTTCTGCACTTTATAGATCTACATTCTGGAAAGAAAAAAGGGTAAGAAATAGTTTCAGAAAACACAAAAAAAACACAGCATGCATATCTTTTTATATACGAGATGAAGCAAATTATGATTCATGGTATATGATGAGCATCAGGAATTTCGACACCTGAGAATCTTTTCGAGACAGTTTGAAAAAATGTTGGGCCAGTAAGGACCTAAGGCTGAGTTTCCATCAACTATTATGTTTAACCATTTGTTATTTGCCATGGAATCAAGAACTGAAATCTGCTAAAAACAAGAGAAATTGCAGAAGATGATGAAGAAGATGGAGCAGTGTTTGGTTGTTTATATAACACTCATGTTCATTACACAGCTCAACCCTCATTGATTATGGAATTAACTTCCGTACTTCTTTTATTCTTTTTTTCATGCATGGAGGACACGTACTAACAAATATTTATAATCATTCATAATTTATGACTTAAATCACATTTAAATATCTCCTAAGTATCAATTAACAATTATTACTGCATTAAGTATTTAAAATATCTTTTTTTTTATTACAATTAAGTATTTAAAATATCTTTTTTTTTATCTAAGTAATCTGTCATTTAATTTTTAGTGTTAGAAAGATAACACGGATCAGTGACTCTGGCTTTCTCTGGATTATATTAAAACTAAATGAATCTAAAAAATAATACATATGTATTTCTTAAAACACAATAAAGGAAACAAAAAATTATATAATTAAATAATTATAGTATTCATTTTATGTCTCAATGAAATTATTGATACCTTGTTCATTGCATTGTTTGTTTAATTTATTATAATGTTTATTGTAAAATTCCATTGCTATACTTCTATTTTATCTTATTGGGGTTCACATATCTTTATTGGGGTAAACAGTTAAGCATGTTAAGTATCACTGCAATCAGTGAGCCTGAGGAAATCTACTCACAACGTCAAATTGTCAAAGAAAAAAACTAGTGAACTACCAACATAATACAACATTAATCTAGACTCTAATGTCTTTGTTTTGAATTTTAATAATCAGTACAACATTTTACAATGTACAATACAAACATATTTCAAGGTCTATTTTTCCTCCAAACTGAAAACAGATATTTGAAGGAAATGATGACCCTAGTAAAGAGCAACTCTATATTCAAGCATACATGTGTCGGAGACTCTTGCAAGAAATGGCAGAAGTACTTCAGTAAGTATGAACTCTGTAAGATTTTTGTTCAATCTAACCACTGGTTGCAACTTGCCCTTTTCTTCTTGACCTTACACCCCTTTGATTCACTGGATGTTTTGCATTAGGATCCACAAGCAGCAAGCATGACATAACAAATGACAAGAGTTCTTCATGGTGGGAAAAGGTGAAGTCCAGGTGTGCATATTCAAACTCATTATATGAAACATCTACCCCAGCACCCTTCATCAATTTATAGTGTCTCTTCACCATTGAAGGCCTTATCACTTTGTCCTTCTGTCCAGCAACAAGATTAACAGGAATGTCTATGAGTTCATAGCGTTCACCCAAGTCCAAAGGCACAGGTGAACCATACACTTCCATGTTGGCAGAAGTACTACCATAATCAAACATTATGAATTTTCCAGTGCGCTTCATCTGTGAAAGATGGAGAGCAACACGAAAAGCTACTCCTGGCATGTCATTCATGTTATAGTGTGGTAATCCTAAAACTCCAACCCAGTTTGAACTGTCTCCACCAACAACATAGCTCATTAAAGTTTGAACCAACCCTCCAACTGCAGGTAGGTTATGCAGATCCCTCGCTAACTTGTTGACAAGCATACGAAAAAATCTGGTTGGTATATAGAAGGCAGGAACAAGAAGAGACAAAACAGGAGCCAGTAAAACCAGTAGAAGTTCAGCCACAGAAAAAACAATGTTAGAGTCCTCGTGAAAACCGGCTGGTGATAACAAAACCAATCTTGAAAGCCTATGGGGTTTCCCTTCTATCCTTCGAGTAATAACATACATCAGCACAGCAGCTCCTCCCAAACTATGGCAAATGGCACAAAGCTTGTACGGCTGATCGTCATCAGTTTCCTCCTCTATATCAGGTTTAGTAAGCCTCAATTCAGCAGTCTTTACTTCATGTATTTTTTCTATCATAGCTGGAATATCCTCAGTCCCATGCTCATTGATGGAATACCGCCAATATCTGCATTACATCAATTCAAACACAGATTATTCAAAATGAAAATAGGGGGAAGAATGTGAACGAAATACTTCCACTTATTTGGGAGTTAAATTTTAAACAATAGCAAACACATGTTTCTCTTCAAATAACTCCTTTTTGAATCCATCTATTCACTTTTCATTTTTGTTTCCCTTTCCATTTCATTCTCTCTGAAATTTCCAAAAGCATTCAAATAGATTTACTTTATGAACTTACTGACGTGATGATATGTTCTTGTTGACATGTTCCCGTGAAACCAAACCACGAAAATTCCCCAGAAATACATCATAACCTGCAGATAGAACAAACTATACATGCAATAATTCCAAAAAGACGAATTGTTTGTCAAGTACCGACATTATTGCCAAATATAGCGTACCTTGATCGTATGCTGCAAAAGCTGGAGAGCCAACAATTCCATTAGATACCCAACTGAACCCAAGAAAGAAAAGGGTTAGAGTATCATTGTCATTTTGACCATAGTCCAGGGTTAAGAAGTAAATTGAAACAAAAAAATTAAATCCAAAGTCATGACTCTCCTGCACTTCTTCTGCACCAGTGACTTTAGACAACAACAATGTTTTGTCAGTTTCACTAAGTCTGAGAAGTGGGAACTACAGGTGATTCATATCCTACCAATAGCAAGACTCATGAACCTACTGACTTAAACAAGAGCTCATATTGTTACAACAAAAATATTGTCCAAATTCTCTACATAATATTAGCTTACTCTGGCGTCATACTAATGCTCAGGAAAAAATGTGTTCTTCAAAAGGATATTTTCCAAACATAAATATACTACTTCTCAACTCTTTTAACTCAGGTAATAACAGAATCAAGTAAGAGCTATGAAAATATAGAGATAAAATGACTCACCCCATTGATGAATCCAAAACCCCATGCTGGAGATAAACAGCTTTTCTTGAATCTCGCCTGGGAAGTAAGAACAGACGTCAGACACAACACACTGCATGCAAAGAGACCACGTTTTTTCTAGAAATTACAATGACAACCCTAATCATCTCCACAGTCCACATAAATGTGTTTTTCAACTTTGTTGTTATCAATTTATGAAAACGAACTTTATTCATAATGATAACATCATGATACATTTTCATGCATTTCAACCAGCTCTAGACATGAATTGTACAAGGCCTCATCCCAAAATTGCTATATTTTCCATCAGTAACTGTTCAACAAACTGAAGTAATTCACTCCACACAATGACAAAATAGATGAGATGTCAAAACACGCCAACTAGAATCGCAACTAGTGTATCCTGTGCACATTTATTACTTCTGAAGTGATTCATCATGTGTCTAACCATCTATTATGCACTTAATTTCAGAAGATAAAAGTAAGTACAAAAAATCAAAAAAGGGATGTGCAATTAAATTTATGAAGATCCATATAACTTTCTCAGAAATGAATTTTTTTACCTGGGTATTCTTTCTAAAAGAAGAATATATCCATCAGAGGTGATCACACGAATGGCTTCATATGGATACCTGCCAAAAGTAGAATGAGAAACCATGAGGCAGACAGGCAAAGATTTCAAAACAAAAAAAGAATAAATTATAAAGGCAACTACATGATAGGCATTACCCAAGGTCCGTTATGACATCCTGACATGTCCGAGCATCTGTATTCAGAGGCTGATACTTGAGAGTTCTCTCTTTGGGTTTTGGGTCATTTTCTCCTAATGTATCTGTATATATGGAGGCGTCCTCTTCACCATCAGGATCTCCTTTAACAGCACTTTCATGAGACGAAAACAGCCTGACTAATGCCCCAAAAGCTTCTGAAGGGGAAAGAAGAAGATGTGCTGCCTTGTGAACAACATCAAACACGGCTTCTATAGATAACTCGATGCCTAGATGAAGATCCTGGTTGACAAAATAAACTTACTTAGCAACACAAACTTTACATTCCTATGAAATTTATCTGAAAAAAAATAATAGAGATTAATATAAAGAAATGTTGCACAACCTCTACAACTCCTCGTCTCCTATCAGTAGCACGGTG